TAAAAGATGTATAATTACAGTGGAAGGTATAACCAAATAATTCAAAGAAAAATTCAAAAAAACATTGCAAAATCTTACCTCTGGTTTTGATTATAATTCCATCATAATTCCTCTTTGGCCCCTAAATCTGAGAATTTCAAGTCTCTACTCATGATTGCTCTTCACAACAACTAACTTGTTAACTTATCAATTAGAAAAAAAAAACTAAACAAAACATAATATTATTAGTAATCTTTGCCAGCAATGTTTTAATCTTTGCCAATGATAGAAGACACTTTGTGTAATAAAACCTTGTGTGCAGTCCTGAGAGATTTGAATTGACCAACAGGGGTTACATGGGGTTACACCTGATATTACAGAATCATCTATCTACTACTCTGAGATTAACTCAAAAGAGTGAAATTCTGGCTAGAAAAGTAAATTCTGTCTCAAGATTTATCTAAGTGTTAAAATTCCTGTGTGTCTATGTAAATTCTGCCTCAATTTTTTTTCTAAGTTATTGAAAATCTGTCTTGTAAAAATAAAACTAAGAGCAAAAATATCTGTGTGGAAAATTTTTTCTGTACAGAAAATTTTTTGATTCTGTTTTATTCTGCACAGAAAATCACATATTTCTTAGGCCGATTCTGTGTCCAATTCTGTGTCGGTGTCAACTCTGTACAGAAAAATGAAAATCTGCCTCTATAAACAACCAGAGTTGGTACAGAGTCTGTACAGAAATTGGCTCAGAATTTTCGTACAGGTGACGTGTTTGTCTTGTTTTGAAATTATGCAGTTTGCAAAGGGATTGAAGTCTGTATTTATGGAAAAGGCATTTTGTGAAATAGACATATTCATAAGAGAGTGTTATTTTTGGAATTTTACATATCTTTGAATAGATTTTGTTTTATGCTGGTTGTTATATTTAGAAGGAATTTAATGGAATTTAATATTTTCTGATAAGCTAATGGTGTTGTTTTTTCCAGCATATGGTGTTTTTCATGGTAATTATATTTATATACACCATTTAACTGGTGTAGATGTTTTGTGGTTTAATTATATTTTATAATATGATACAGTGCTTAAGATATTGCTCTGAAAATATTAGGTTTAAATTTCAATTAAGTTATGAAATTTGCAGTATTGTAACATTTGCAGAGATTAAAAAATAAAAAATAGTTGAGTAGGGGATATAAATAAAGTGCTGTTTCTAGTAAAAAAATGAATGATTCATTAATATGTTAAATAATATGAATGATATGTGCTTGTTTTAGTATACATGTTAACATTGGTCAGTGTGACATATTGTGTAATTTCAAAGTACATATTGTCACCTATGTGCAGTAACGGGTTAACTTCTTTTAAAATTTAATAGGAGTTAACCCATTACTGCACTGTAAAGTGTCAGTTTGTTTTGGTTATATTTCCTAAATTTAAGTCCTGAATACTTGCAATGTTGTTTTTTTTCTGCTGAGTAAGCAAAATTAATATTGTTAAAAAATGTTTGAATTTCTTGGAGAGTCAAGAAGCACTAATAGCTGTAATTAAATCCTATCTATAGTCAAAGATTGTAATACTATTTTATTTTGAAAGTTATTATCAAAATTGTTTATTTATTTGTATGTCTTGAGTTGTTAAGAGCTGTTTGGAATGATTTGTTTGAATACCCTGTTTATATTAAAATAGGTGATCTGCACGGGATCAATGAAATGTCTGAAGGCTGTTAGTGTATTGATAAAGATGGTTTAAAATTGGCTTGGTTTTCAATCGAATGAAGAAAAATGGATTGTACTAAGTTCTGTTTTGTTTTTGATATAATATCTAGAACAAAGTTGTTTATAATTATATGGTATATGTGGTTTTTTGCCTGAATTTCCTTAATCTTTTGATGAAATTTATTTGAAGAGAATTTCAGTTTATGTGATGGAGAAATTTTGTGAATGTTTTATTTCTTTGGTATTCAATTGACTGTCAGTGACTGACATAAGAAGGGCAGTGCCAGGTTACATGTTTGTCAAATTTTGACAAAAGGGGGGCAGTGTTGGTTACATATTTGTCAAGTTTGACATTATGTTTGTTAAATTGACTCCGAAGAATGCTTGGTATGACAGGTTTTCTTGGTGATTGAAGATGATTTGTCTTCGCCTTAAGTTTATCACTGGCTTATGAAATAATATATGTTTAATTAGCAAGGGTATGCAAATTAGCTTGAATATGCAAATGAGCTACAATCATCACTCTGTTTATGATTATACAACGTGTATTGTTTTTTCGGAAGGCTGTCTGTTGAATCTTTCCTTTTTTTTCATTTCTAAAGGTCACAGAAATAATTTTAATAAATTTATTTTATCAAATTTAAGAAAGGATTATAAAAAATTCAAGGAAAAATAGTGCAAGAGAATGCCCAACAAGTGAATGTTTTTTTTTTACTACAGGGATTAAATTTATTGAAATAAGATAAGAGAAGAAACTTTGGAAATAGTTTGTATTTGAAAATTAAGCATTACGAGGAAAATCAATGTTGTGCAGAATCTTGTTTGGAATTTGTGCAGTTACATAATAAAGATTGAAGGAATTGGATCGTAACACGCACATACCAAGAAGGAATTTTAGTGTATTTACAGAATTGAACGCTGGACGGAGTGATTAGTGATCTTTTTGTCTTGTTTGAGATAATGGGCAACTAAATGACGGAATTAAAAAGTCCGTACTAATGGTTGAAGAAGTGATGTTAAAACAGATGAAGTGTACGGCTGATTGGGAAGTGTATGACCCTACTGCCTCGGTAATGTGCAGTTGTGTTTGCATTGAGGAATATTCAGGATCATATAATACCGGATACGGTGGAACAAACGGTTACTCTCAAATGGGATTTAACGGTTATGGATATAATAATAATGCATATAATAACGGATATTCAAATATGGGATATAGTCGAACAGATATATCAGGTAATGTATGCTTATGTTTTGTTAACTATACTTATCTAAGATATAAAATTTTAAAGATGTAATTAAAATATACGTATAGTACTTAGACCACTTTGTGCCTTTTGACTCAACAGTTTTAAGAATATTGGGAGCTCATTTTGCACTCCCGGTGTGTTGACATCTTCAGTGCCGTTATACTTTGATTAGGTTTTTGTGTGCAAGTTTGTCCAAAACTACTAATGAGAATGGATTGTAACATCACACATTTATTTAAGAGCATAGCCTGCAATGTTCATGTATTATTGTTGAGCTGATTTGTTTATCATTTTATCAAGAATATGATGCTGAAGCTGTATTAAGCTATATTGCTTATTAATTAGGACAAATGAATATTACTGCTTTGTTTACCTTTAATTATTGACTTGTTCTACATCCCTTCTTTGTTTACTTAGTTTCTTTTATTAAAAAGATCAGTAGTATTCCATTTCTGTTCACATATTTTCTATTCACAAGATCATTGGTACTTTCTGTTCATAAGATCAGTGATAATTTTCTGTTCATTATAAAGATCAGTGGTATTTTATGTTTACAAGGTTAGTGGTTTTATTGTTCACATGATCATTGGTATTATCTAATCACAAGGTCAGTGATATTATATGTTCACAAGGTCAGTGATATTATATGTTCACAAGGTCAGTGATATTATATGTTCACAAGGTCAGTGATATTATATGTTCACAAGGTCAGTGATATTATATGTTCACAAGGTCAGTGATATTTTCTGTTCATGGTATTTATCATTCACAATATGCTGAAAGTTAAATTTCCATGATACTGCAGACTAAGACACAGATTTAAGTTGGAGAAAAAATTCACGCTGGGTTATTAATTTAATCATGGACAGTACATCTGTACATTTTTTACCTTTTAATACATGCAGTGTAGTGTATTGTTTATTCTTGCATATATTTTTCTTACTCCGTGCATGATGGTTTAAACACCACGTCAGCTGTTTTCCCCGGTGTATTGGTTAATATAGGATAAATGGAGAAAAAAGTCTGTTTAGGTACACGTCACCATTAACGACTTAAGGCCATATTGTAAGAGAATATCTAATATGGAAAGTATAAAAGTCACTGGAATTTAACAACACATACCAGTATGAGAGGTAACCATTTATTTAACTTGTATTGTTGCTTTGCATATTTAGTGAACACTATGCTAAAATCACTGGGTGTAAATTTTTATTGTTCTTTATTTCAAACTTTTGAACTTTATAAATGGAGTAAAAACAGCTGTGTTATAATTTTGCTTTGAATAAGTTTTACATATTTGAAAATAATTGTTATTCAGAATGAATATGAAGATTTTAAAGAAAATTTAAGCCATATACCTGATGCAACTTAATGTTCACAGCTATGTGCACCATTTGATGCAGATGTTGATGAGAATGTTATGAAAATAATAACTTGTGGAATGGCTGCATTTTGCATTCTATAATTGTAGAATTATTACGATTTATGTTACGGCAGATTTACATTTGGTAAATGATCCTGTACCAAATCTAAGTTAATTTCTTTCTGATTTCTTGAAAAATAAATTTCTGAAGTAAACAAAGCTAAAGGTCAAAATCAAGTACAATTTTATCATGAAAAATCTTCATTATTCAACAAAATCTTGACTGGGAATGTTATGCTTGCACTTGGCCCAAAGATACATAAAGTAAGCAAGGTTAAGGTCCATCACTTGTTAATGACCAATTTTGGTCAAAATACTAGATGGCGGACAACAGTGTTGTATTTCCTCATGGATATTATTGTTTAACACATTATGTAACAAGTTTGCTGATGAGAGGAACGTTACCTTTACAAGGCATATAAACAGCTGTATGGTTAACTTGAGAGTCTATACATGACCTCTCCTGTACACTTTATCAATTGTACTAATGACATGCAAGAATTTACCATTGTCATAAATCATGTACCCCCAGGCCATTTCCTTCAATGGTATTCACTTATTGGTCGTTTAGTTTATTGTAGGTAATTAAGACTTTGACTGGCATGTTGTACGTCTCTTGCCCGAGGGTCATTGCCTTGTTTTAACGATGAAGCCAGTATTAATTTTCTTTTTAAGCTCAACTGTTGTATTACAATGATCTTATTGGACATCTTTGTAATGAACAGTTTATCATTACATGTATTAAAAGGTGTCAATATTTATCAATTATCCTTTATAATCATCAACATAAAATTTCATGGATTTTAATTTTATAAAAGAGCAAACATTTTATCATCATTGCCACCATCACCATCATCATCATTATCACCAACATCATCATCATCTTCTTCATCATTATCACCAGCATCACCATTATTATCAACATCATCATCATCTTCTTCATCATTATCATCACCAGCATCACCATTATTATCAACATCATCATCATCTTCTTCATCATCATCATCACCAGCATCACCATTATTATCAACATCATCATCATCTTCTTCATCATTATCACCAGCATCACCATTATTATCAACATCATCATCATCATCTTCTTCATCATTATCACCAGCATCACCATTTATCAACATCATCATCATCTTCTTCATCATCATCACCAGCATCACCATTATTATCAAACATCATCATCATCATCTTCTTCATCATCATCACCAGCATCACCATTATTATCAACATCATCATCATCTTCTTCATCATCATCACCAGCATCACCATTATTATCAACATCATCATCATCTTCTTCATCATCATCACCAGCATCACCATTATTATCAACATCATCATCATCATCTTCTTCATCATCATCACCAGCATCACCATTATTATCAACATCATCATCATCATCTTCTTCATCATCATCACCAGCATCACCATTATTATCAACATCATCATCATCATCTTCTTCATCATCATCACCAGCATCACCATTATTATCAACATCATCATCATCTTCTTCATCATCATCACCAGCATCACCATTATTATCAACATCATCATCATCTTCTTCATCATCATCACCAGCATCACCATTATTATCAACATCATCATCATCATCTTCTTCATCATCATCACCAGCATCACCATTATTATCAACATCATCATCATCTTCTTCATCATCATCACCAGCATCACCATTATTATCAACATCATCATCATCTTCTTCATCATCATCACCAGCATCACCATTATTATCAACATCATCATCATCTTCTTCATCATCATCACCAGCATCATCATTATTATCAACCTCATCATCACCACCATCATCATCATAATGACCATCATCATCATTACTATCTTCATTATCACCCATAAACATAATAAGTATTTTGACCTTAAACTGAAGTTTTCACTTTTTTGCACCATAATGACTATAGCAAGTTTTCCTCAGCTTATGATGATGACAGCTTGTTGTGAAATGCATTAGATCACTGTAATATCACAAAAACTTGGGTCAATGATGTAAAATTTTATCTGCTAATTAATGTAACAAAATGGATTAGTAAAGCTGTCTGTGCAGAATATAGGAAACAGCCTAGCTTGACCAGAAGAGGTACATAATGAAAGACTTGAATCTGTTAAAATGTAAAACATAATGCTGTCACCTATCTACCTGTAAATAGTACCATAGAAGATACTCGAACAGGTGTTATATAGATAGGAAGAACTTGGGAGATGATGGGGGTTTATTAGACTTGTCTTATGTTCAGCAGTTATAGTTTCTATAAACCAATGTGTGTGCATGTGTGTGGCATTATATACAAGAGATTGATTGGCACCAAACTTATTTTTGTCAAGCTTGCTTAAAAAGACTCTTAACACATTTAAACATGTTGCTGTACTCTTAAATTGGCACTGATTTCTTGGTTCTTTTTTGTTACTACTAAATTTGTATTATATAGTGAAAGAACTGACTGTTGGTTTTTCATACAGTAAGAAACCACTTTTTGACCTACTTTATTTCTCTTATTAGCAAAGGTCATATTTCTGATATTGACCTATATTGGAAAAGTCAAGAGAATTTGATCCACATGTATACTGGTTTTTTTTTTTCATGTGTGAATTAGTATTACTGAGAAGGATACCTGTAATTTTTGGTCAGTAGGAAACAGTTTTCATATTATGTACATTCATGTCTCCTGACATTTTATTCAGATTCCAGTCTGTAACAGTAACACAACAGTCAGATCCACTGCCCTGCTAAAAGTGCCATTCCAAACATCACATTTTTGAGATATCTGCAATATTCATTCATTTTATTTGATATTATTTTGTAACCAAGTGGAATATCCTGATCTAGCTGACTTCAACATAAAATATCTTACACAAATAGATGTTATCTAGAACCAGACAAATGTTACTTAAGTTTTACTATATATAATCTGAGGGTTCAGACTATACCTTTATAGCTTCATGGTGCACCAGTCTATCGTTCAACCGGTTGCACTTGTTTTAAATACATTTACCAAGCTATAACCAAACAACAGGTTGATTAATGTACCCCGACATTTAAGATGGGGGAAAAACCCACATTTGCCAAATCTCTATAGTCTATTCACAGTTTAATAAAATTATTATTGTTACCTTGCATGAGGATTATCTCCTGATCTGAGGTTAAAAATTCTTTATTAAATAAGACAGCCTGATATTCAGTGAATGAGACCTATAGTAAAGGATTAAATTATTTGTGTCATTTCAAAAAAGATTTTTTTTAATATTACTACTGTGCAGTTTTGAATAATTCAACTACAAAATGTAATTTGATTTTTCAACATATTAAAAAGCCCTTTTGCAAAGCTTAATATAATTGCCAAAGACCTGTATATTTTACCATGACCGCTAAAATTGCCTACTTAATTGGGGAGTACTATAAATGTCAGTGTGATTTAGTAATAAAAATGACTGCTCATGCATAATTCATCCATGTTAAATCTGTGAGAAAAAATGCAGACAAATTGTGAAGGGGGACAGTCACCCATTTGTCATTTGAAATTGCA